GGTCGTTCCGGCTGGAGACTCCACGCGCTGGCTTCGCCGCCGTGGAGGCTCTCCAGCCGGTCATCGCCGAGTGGGCAGGGCGGCAGCACGGGACCCTTTCCTTCCGACTGACGCAGGTGCTTTCCGGGCACGGTTGCTTCGGAAAGTACCTGCACACGGTCGCTAGGAGGGAACTGAGTCCCGCCTGCCACCACTGCGACTGCAGTGAGGACTCGGCCCAGCACACGCTGGCGGTCTGCCCCGCATGGGCGGCGCAGCGCCGGGCCCTCACTGCAGTCATCGGAGTGGATCTCTCGCTACCGGCCGTAGTACGCTCCATGGCCGGTAGCGACAGTTGTTTTACCGCGGTCGCAACCTTCTGCGAGGTAGTAATCTCGCGGAAGGAGGCGGCGGAGAGGGCCCGGGAGGACGACCTCCACTCGGACCCGATCCGCCGCCGGCGAACCGGGCGGCGGAGGCCCGCCTACCACAGCCTCATGCCGCCCTGAGTGTGGCCGCGGGTGGACGGGGTGGGTTTCCCCTCCACCCGCATTAGTTGGCCAGCCGCGAGGGGGCGGCGTCCGCGTGTGCCGGACGTCGCCTAAAGAGAGGAAAATGTATTGAGACGGAGCCCGCACCAGGAGCGGGCTGGCGCTAGGAGGGGTCCGGATGTCTTAACAACAGCTGTTCCCGGATCCCTCCTGTTACAGGCGCAGAGTGGCACACCGTGTGGTTTTAGTCGGTCCGAGTCCGACACACCACCCCGCCGCAAACCCCGGAGGGGTGACGGTCCGAGGGGATTTCCACACGTTAAAAAAAAAAAAAAAAAAAAAAAAAAAAAAAAAAAAAAAAAAAAAAAAAAAAAAAAAGGGTTTGTTGCCTAGAGAATGCGTAACAATAATTGTAATTAAGTAAAACTAACTAGGAGGGCCCGTTGGTCTAGTGGGTAGCGATTCTGATTACCTAACCTGACGTCCTGGGTTCGATTTTTTTTATTATTTAACACATTTTACACACGGTCGTCTGATCCCAAACAAGGCAGATCCTGTACTATGGTAACTTAACTGCTGATAAACATACTATATATAATATCTAAATACATACATAACATTGTCCATCCATACATATGTATATAAATAATATTTAGTAAAAAAATTACACACGATCATTTTTTCTGTGTCTGTGTAATTTTTCTTTAAAACATATCCATTTAAGATTATATAAGTATGTTTATCTAGAAATATATATGCCCGCGGTTGACCCCACGTCACGACTTGTACCCTGGTACGTAGGTGTGGACAGTTGTCTAAATGTGGACGCTCGGGAATAAAAGGTGGGTGTGTGTGTATTTAATGTGTAAAATCTAAGTCCGCATGCTTTAATAGTGAACCGAATTGAGTAGTTAAGAATAATTTAATTAATAATTTAAATTAATTCTATTATCTACTTTCTGGATTCATTTTTAACAAAGGCTACCAAGGTCATTCTGTAGGACTCGTCAAAACAAATATATGAGTTCAAACTCAAGGAGTTTAGTAGTAACGCCTGAAGAGCTCCTGTCTATCTCCGGCATTCATCATTAGATTAACTCCAAAATGCCAACAATAGTATTGTTATTCAAACTACTTATATAACATCCATTTTAATATTATAAATGCAAAAGTGTGTCTGTCTGTTACCTTTTCACGCTTAAACCGCCAAACCGATATAGATGAAGTTTGGTATAGAAAGAGTTTGAGTCCTGGCAAAGGACATAGAGTAGTTTTTATTCCAGAAATCATCTTTTAAAGGGGTGAAAAGGGGGGTGGAGGTTTGTATTCTATTGATTCCCCATTAATAACCGCTGATCCGATTCAAATGAAATTTTTCTTTTTAGTTTGACTCTTGATAAAGGACATTGGCTAGTTTTTACACACGGGCGGAGCTAACCGATTTTGAAAATTCTAGCACCAATAGAAAGCTATATTATGAGCGACTAACATAGCCTCCTTCTCAAAGGCCTTTTTTCCCTAAAACATATCTATTTAAGATTATATAAGTATGTTTATCTAGAAATATATATGAACAATAAATATTTATTAAGATGTGTTCACCTTTTATTCTCAATGGAGTCACGTGTGTATGTGATACAGCCCAGAGAACTGTCTTTTAATACAATTTTATAACCCCTTACTTTTGGTTGACAGTTAATTTATTATGTTGCAAAAGTAGTGCAGAATCTTTTCACTTTTGGTACGAAAATTCTTAATTTTAATAGGAAACAATTTAGTAAAACTTCCCATTAAACAAATTTGAAGTCGTAAATATTTTATCATGTATTAAGTTATATCATTTCCAAAACAAATTAAACAAATTAATAACAGCCACAACAATTTATATATCCGGATTTAATCTGCGATTTTACTTAATGAACTTGTTTTTTGAGATACAAATAATTTGTTCCAAACGTATTAGATTGATTTCAAAATATAATTGTTTTGTAGTTTTTACGATTGCTGTAAAAATTAAAACAATTGAATACATTTTTAATGGCTATGGGTTGTTATGGCTAATTATAAATAAATAAGTTTAAAAGTAATTTCTGTAGAATATGTTGTATTGTAATACATACTTATAATAAATACACTTTCCAGCCATCCACATCATTCAAATTGCAAGACATTGTCACTTAATTTTCTTAAAAGGAGATCGGCAATAAGCGCGGGTCTTCCGAGTGATTAGGCATCGCTAAAAAGTGAGTGCCATCGTTTCGACCAGAGAATGCCACTAATGGACACAGACCTACCGCAGTAACCTCGAGAAGACTAGTTAGTTAATTAAATACTAGCTGGTACCCGCGACTTCGTGGATTCGATTCTCGGACCGGGCAAAATATTAAACGGTTTTCTCAGAGGTTTTCTCAAAATATTAAAGGGTTAGCCTAAGTTACTCCTTAGATAGACAGCTACCTGGTAGCAAAATATTATCAAAAGCGGTCCAGCCGTTTAGAAGATTACCCGGAACAAACAGACAGACAGACAGACAAAAAAAAACAGTTTTTAGGTATCATGCAAGTAATCGTGTGAGCATGAAAAAACCTATCATCAACACTACCGTCACCACAAGAGTCACAAGTGAATTGCCATCTACTACCCTCCCCCCAGAATTAGGAGAGGGAGGAGGTTTGGTCTCTTGTAAATTCACTCACTGGGTGAAAGGTAACGAAATAATTACTTAAAAGACTAAAGACCTTCCTAAAAGGCCGGCAACTCGTTTATAACTCCTGAGATGCAGACGTTCATGGGCGGCGATGGTCACTTTCCATCAGGTGACCCGTCTGCTCTATCATAAAAAAATAAAAATAAAGTGTTACGAACTGCTAAGGAAAATGTAAACAAACTCATTGTTATGAAGACGAAAGATTTTCATATTAAAAAACGTCAGATTTATAGATTTACCGACTTTCGTACTTAATAAATAGTGTGCAGCTTTCTCTAATTGAACCAACTTTGGAGCATTTATCTACCCACACTCGGGTATGTTATGTGTAAACTCAACGAAAAAAGACCAATAAAATACCATAAATGTACCATATAATAATAAAACACAGCAACAGTTCACTCCAGTCGAGCCGGCCTAATTGTGTCGAACATGGCTCTCTCTTCATTAACATATCAGATTTACTCATAAGGTGTAGACACACATGTTCATGTTCTTCATCGGGGTCTTTATCTACTTATTCAATATTAAAAACATGATTAAAGTGCGTCGCCCACGCGTGGACAAAGTCCGCCCAGTATGGTAATTGAAGTCGCATCCTTACATTCCTCTCGGCCACCAGCAAAGTGATGTGATATACAATACTACTCATATTTTGTATTATTTTTTGCTTTTTTAAAATCTTATTCCGTGCCAAAGTCATCTACCTACATTGGCACGGAATAAGATTTAAAAAAAAAAAAATTATAAAAGTCACATGAGTATACTACGAGTATGACACTTTTTCTCTGTTTTTGTTTTTAAATGAAATGAAATGACGAAATATACATTTAAAATTACTCTGTTATAATGAACAGCAAAATAAATATTTTTAATAAGGTTTATTTTTGTTTTGATGTAGATTAGTCGCTGGCAACGTATGCCTCGATGAAATGTGATAGACAAAAAGGCAAGCCAAACTAACTAGATCCCCAACGTCGGCGAAAAGTGTATTTAGAACTTTAAAATCCGTAATGTGGAATCGTTTCCGTGTTCGTCCCACTACTGGATAATTTTATTAACTAACACATGAAAAATCCCTTAAAGGTGCTTTCTTAATCTAGGACTAACTACCTGGTGTTCCATAAGAAGAGTTTGTAGCAGTGTAGCCAGGTGCAGCCCTGTCCTGCGTTGTTGTAAAGCATCGTTATGTTACGCTATGTCAACGCCTTGACATAATTAAGGCTCGATCCTAATTCAAATAAGGACCATCCGCTTAGTTATTTATCAAGAATGCCGCAGAGCTGGAAGTAATCGATTGTACTCGTAACACTGAACCTCCAGAAACTCTAGGACTTCGGATTCTGCCAACTAAAGACTCTTAACTGGTATCTGGCCTCTTAAAAGTGTTGAAGTTGAATATACAATCAGCACATAGCTCAGGACACCAGCACTGCAAAAAGAAGGAAAACTTGACACAAACCCTATACAAACCCGTATTTCCAGCGTGGTATAGTAGTCCTAAACCTTCTTTGTAAGGAGAGGCCTATGTCCAGCAGCGGACTATTAAAGTCTGCTAATGTGATGATGTGACACAGCTCAGAGTTTGCCTGGAGGTTCATTCACAATTAATAAAAGATATGACTATGACCAATGGGAATGACTGTGGGATGCACCGGTTAACGATAAAACTTCTGGTGAACACATCCTTAGACCATGGACCAAGAATATCGAGACATTTACAAAGTAAATTACAGATCGTTAAAAGGTTCTGCATACCTTTTCCATTGCACAAATGGGTTAAGAGACTCCTGAATGCGGTATGATGAAGACTAAAGATTTACCTGGAGGTGAGCTTGCGATGCGCTCGCCGTCCGCCGCTAATCATAGACAGCGTGCTCATCACCGCTGACATGGCGCTTGGCTGTTATGTTCATGTGATCTGTAACAATAACCTACAAGTTAGAAATATTCAAAGCTGGTAAAGATAGCTATTAAAAACTGCATCGATATGCCTTCTAAAAACTACATTGATTTTGTATTACGTTTTTCTTGGTGGATAGATGCTGTTATGAGCAGCTAACAGACATTTAAATAAATTCAATTTAATAAAGACGACGGATTATCATTAATTCAATGAAGACAGATTCATTAGTTATCGACTTCCGCACTTAGTTGATAGTAAGAAACTTTCCGATAACCAGTTTCGGAGCATTTATCTGCCTATACATTTACACTCGTGTATGTTTACTGTAAACTCAGAGAAGAGAGACCAATAACATACCACATATGTACCATATAATACTAAAATACAACTTTGTTCAACAGTTCACCATATACAGAACTGCAGTATAAACTCTAGTAAGCGCACATAAACAAAACAAAAAAAAGGTATATCTGCAATACATAAATCCATATCAATTTCCATAGATAATGGCGGTCATTTAACTGGTGAGTGGTACTAGTTCAGTGCTAGGATATGGGGCCGGTGTATGTCTATAAACAAATGCAAATGTTGTACATGTGGGACGTGGCCGCAAATCATGCTGACAAATTGTCAAGTGGTGCAGCGCCCTAACGAGTTGGAACAAAAACGCAATGTGGGTGTGTGGTCCATGTACAAGCGGATGGGCCGAATTTGCGGATATATCTTTGATATTGCTGAGATATATAAATTCGAAAGGTAAGGTTGCAGAACATCGTTTAAACAGTATCTAATTATAACTCAATATTTCTAATAGGTAAATGGGTTACTCATGTGCGTATTTTGCCAGAGGGTAGGCGTAAGTAAGGTTTTACGTCACGATATTATTTCGCCAGTCACCTTTCTACTTCTACAGCTGTCTTAATTTTTTTTTAGTATAAAGGCAAATAAGATTTTATATACGTAAAGTTCGCATTGAAGAAATATCTCTTATGATTGCTAATTCCATTGTTATCAGAAGAGTATAAATAATAATATTACGTATAAAGTAGTAGTTGGAACTAACAAGCTGATGACTGCACAGATGGCGTAGTGGTTTAAGCGGTCACCACGCCGCTTTATACTGCGCTGAGTGTTGTGGATTCGATGGTCACATGTGACACCACTTTGTGTGATCTACAAATTGTTGTTCTGAGTCTGGGTGTTCTTTGTGTCCGTTTCATGTATGTTTATAAAGTCCTCCGAAAAACAGTATATCTATTCCTAATGCGGAAGTTGCTTTAAAAAAAAAAGAAAGAAAGAACAAGAATTTTTTAAGTTTCAACATAAGTGGATTATAATGAAACAGTTCATTTCGGGAAAAAGACGTTTCTGGATGGTCGAACTTGTACCATAACCTTGCGCTTGCAAAATGTACACTTGAATGTAAGAGATACAGCAGGCTGAGTATCTTTGTTGCTATTTATTTGGCGTCGTGTGGTCTCAGGTGTGAATGGACCACCCCATAAATTGTTAGCAAAACGAACTGGTATATTGTTCGGAGAATGGAAAGAAAGGTAGGACTTAGGAGATCCCGTACCATAGAACAAAGGATAGCATCCGCGTTTAAAGAATGGGCAGTTCCTAATAATAGTTACCGATTACCAAGATTATGGTCATAAGCTGACTTTTTTTTGGGCATCTGACACACAACTCCATCTAGTTTCAAACCAAGCAGAGCTTGTACTATGAAAACTAGATTGACTGATAGAATACTTATATACTTTTTTTTGTACATACATATTATACATAGAAAACACCCAAACTCTGAAAAAAATATCGGTTGCTGAGAATGCGGGTTCGTTAATCGAACCTGAGACCTCAGCACAGCAGTCGCATACGCTACCACTGCACTACCGAGGCAGTCGGTACAGGCAATATGATGTCTGCCTTTCGTCATCAAGAGCGGAAGGTAAAAAGTTGTTTGTCTATCTGTAAGCGGTAATTCTCAAGGTTTATGGTTCGTCGTGTAAAGTCGTACATAAGATGCATTTTGCATACCTTAGCTGCGAATTTTATGAAGCGTATAATAAAAAATAAAACAACAAAAAAACTACGATTTTTAATGGGTAGTTAAACTCAAAAGAGATTTTACTGAAAGTTCTCAGTCGCAAATTAAGATGTAAAAATCTTATACAGATGCTTATATAGGCGAGTACCGATGTTCGCGGATTGCGATGCGCATTCAAGCGACTAGAAAATGCTAAGTATTAACCTAGCGCCCATAATGTGTGTAATATTACCTCTAAGCTAACACATTACTTATTTTGTTATTATAGGCGAGGGCGTCCTTGTGCGGCATGATGTTATCGTTACGAACATGAAAATAAATAATGGTCAATAAAATGCTGACTGTACTCGCTCGGTACCATGATTGACTGAAATTGATTGAGATATTAAAATAGTTTTATAATTATTTTTAAGTGATCGACTTAATTCTTATTACGTTAAAGTAATCTAGAATATTCCCGTATCTTTTTTTTTATCAATTTCGTTAGAATTCTCGTATATTTACTAATAAATAAAATTGAAGTATAATAATAATAATAATTTCTTTATTTTTGTTCTCTCACACAGACTGATACATAGGTACTAGCTTAAACTAGGAGTAGTAATTAATATAATTAGATTATATCTATGTGAAAGACTGGTATTTGTACTAGGAGACCTGTATGACAGATTACCAGCGTCTGTTTGTAATGTCAAAATCAAAGGTTTTTTAATGTTCACACGGTTATTTGCACGATACTGTAATATTTGAGAAGTAATGAAACACACTGTTTATTCAAGCTCGTAGAATCGCAGACTGGCGCTGGTTTTATACTCGTAGTACAAAAGGCACATACATGACGATTTACGAACTACCCATTATCTGTATACAAATAAATTATTACTATAAACACATTTCAGATGCCTATGCCTAAAAACCAGTTTAAATATTGTTTGTCTGTCTGGCTGTTTGTGCCGGGTAATCTTCAAAACGGCTTTACCGATTTTGATAATATTTTATATACCACCAGGTAGCTGTCTATCAGAAAACCCCTATAAAATTAGATCCAAAAATCGAACCCGAGGCCTTATGGACTGCAGTCGCGTACCGTAGTACACCACTAAGGATTCTGAAAGTCGCGGGTATGAGGTAGTATGATATAAATGCTTTAACTTATAGGAATTAAGAAGTATCTACAAAAAATATAATTTATGATTAATAAAGTAATAAATGTGTAACGGGAAGTCATAAATTTCAAATATTATTGGTCATGAATGAAGATTTTATTTGATTATTTCGGTCCCAAAAGTCTGATTTGCGAAAATACTTTTGCTCTGGATAGTTTAAGTGACTTGATGGATTATAAGTTATGACTTAGTGACCTAAAGGAACAGACTAGAGCGCTTAAAGAACAATTTTACCCACTTTCATATCCGTTTCAAACAGTACATGAACTACCAAAAATTTTAAATTAAATGTTATTTTTAATATCTTGTTTTATTTCTAAATAAACTTTTGTACCATGACGGCAAATAGTTACTGGACTCCAATACATTTAAAATTATAAAGCCGTTTTTTCACAATTATAAAAACTTTATGCACTTTTTCTATATTTTTAAACATTAAGTGTTCCAAATATGAAACGTTACCGGACACTATATTTATTAAAAAAAAAAAAATACATGCAGTGGAACATAGAACCTCCTCCTTTTTTGAAGTCGGTTAAAAAGGGTGTAATTTTCCTTCCTTATTATTAAATCGATAAATTGTTCTTTATAAGTTTTAAATTAAGCATCCGATATTTAATGCGTCTTTTTTTAAGTAAGATAGTTAATGACCAAAATCAATAGTTATTTGAAATTTAAAATAAATTGACAATAAATGAATCGTAAACATGTCGAATCATATTCTTTTTTGTATTTGTTACAAATTTTATGATGCCGTTAATGATTGTTGATTTATGTTTCTCATTAATCTCTCATAAAATTAAGTGCTGTATATCCTGTTTTATTCTCATTTATTTAATACGATACTTTCGTAATTGAGGTAGTCGGCAAAATACATTTAAACGTTAAATAAATACAAATAAATGAATAATTTAAGGTAATCTTCTTTCTTTTTTTTTAAAAGACAACTCCCCCACTATGATAATATGTCTCGAAGGGGACTTTTCAAACATATATGAAACGAACACAAAGAACACCCAGATTGAGAAAAACAATTTGTGGGTCATATAAAGTGTCGTCAGATGTGAGGATCGAAACCACAACACTCTGCGTAGTAGGAAGCGTCGTGGCGACCGCTTAAACCACTACGCCATTCGTGCAGTCATGGTATAAACCTTCAAATAAATGCTAATATACATATATCGTTATAAATATTTATAAATTACCGTGTTTTCATTTTGTACCATATAGGGCTGACGAGCAGTTGGTTTGCCTGAGGGAAGAGGCACTCAGGTGTCAGAGGTTCAATGTGGGCCTTCAGGCCAAAATTAAAGGATTCGGCCAACCTCATTTTTACAACGGATAAATTTAATTATAAAAATGTTATAATTTTTTTAACAGAAAAAAATAAACTAACTTCTAAGAAATTGATTGTAAAAATTAACTGATAAATACTACATTTTTTGGGATACAATCATCACATCACATCATTGTATCACATTGAAAATAGGTCTATTACTATTTTAAAACATTCATCAACATCATCAACAGCCTATACTAGTCCACTGCTGGACATAGGCCTCTCCTTAGAAAGGAGGTTTTGGCCTACTATACCACGCTGGCCAGACGGGTTGGTATAGGGTTTGTTTCAAGTTTTCCTTCTCTTTGCAGTGCTGTTGTCCTGCTTAGTTTGCTCCCTTAGTCGGCTCTTACGACACCCACGGGATGAATTGGGGTGGTGACACTTTGTATTCTTCATCCGTCACCACACGGACAACATCCGGCTCGAAGGACAT